GTGTGGGAGGCAACTGTTCGATGTGTCTCTCTCACATCGATGTTTCTCTCTCTCCCTCCCTCCCTCTCTTCCACTCTCTCTAGAAATCAGTGGGGAAAAAAGTATCTTTGGGTGAGGATTAATAAAAAAGAAAGAAAAAAGAGCAGGGTCCTGGTTCTCCCCTCTCCTCCCCCCTCCGTGAGGCCAGCACCCAGACGGCGCCGATCGCCCACCCGCAGTGGACGTGGCAGATAAACGAGGGGCCCCAGCCGAGGTGATCCCAGTGTGAGAGGCGTCACGGCCCCCGTCACACTCTGTGCCCCTGGCCTCACCCTCCTGGCCCTGGTCGGTGCCCCTGTGGCAGTGGATGGTGGCTGCAGGGGCGGAGTGGCCCGGGACGCCATGCAGGCTCCCCGCCCACGGCCCTGTCCAAGCGCCTCACACGCCAGCTGGGCCCGTCCTGCCGACTGGGGTGGAGGTGATAGCGAGCCTGGGGCCCTGCCACCCAGCCCCGTGGACCCGTGCCCGGCGGCCTGTCTGTGCGCGCCCCCCGCCCCAGCTTCTCCCCGAGTTCCGCCTGCTCCTCCTCTTTGCAAGGAGCCGTCCGCATCCCTTGGTTTTAAAAAAGACGAGTTATTTCTGTCTGCATCTCCATCGCCGGTTCTTTCCTCCCTGCGGTTCTCGTTCTGCATTTGGCGCGCCTGGCAGGGGGCCGGGGGGGGGGGGGCGGGCGGGGCAGCATGAGGCCTGTGATTTAAACCCACCAGATCGCAGAGCCTGTGGGGGACCCTCCCCCCCCCGCCCTGCCAGTTGTTCTCTGTGACCTCTGCCTCTTTGGGGTTAGGAGTCGGGAGAGGCAAGGGAGCCCTGGCCGGTTGTTCAGTGGTTGGACCGCCGCCTGCAGGCTGAAGGGCCTTAGGTTCCATTCCCGGTCAAGGGCATGAACCTCAGATCTCGGTTGCAGGTTCGATCCCTGGCCCCAGTGGGGGCGAGTGCAGGAGGCAACTAATCCCTGTGTCTCTCTCACATCCATGTTTCTCTCTCTCCCTCCTCCATCCCTCCACTCTCTCTAAAAATCAGTGGAAAAAAGATCCTCACATGACGGGGCCCCAGAGGCTGTGACAGCCCGGCCAGCAGTGTGAGTGGGGGACCCCTTTCCCCAGAGGCTGTGATGGCCCCGCCAGCAGTGTGAGTGGGGGACCCCTTTCCCCAGAGGCTGTGAGGGCCCGGCCAGCAGTGTGAGTGGGGGACCCCTTTCCCCAGAGGCTGTGACGGCCCCGCCAGCAGTGTGAGTGGGGGACCCCTTTCCCCAGAGGCTGTGACGGCCCGGCCAGCAGTGTGAGTGGGGGACCCCTTTCCCCAGAGGCTGTGCGCCAAGCCTTCAGGCTGAGCCCTGAAAGCTCAGCTCTGAGTGTGGCCAGAAAACGCCATAGTGAGAGCCCTAGCAGCTCCTGCCACACGGGAAAAGCCGTGACAGGTCGGGTGACAGGCCTCAGACGGCAGCATTGAAACCGCCCTTGGCGCAGGGCCGCTGGGAGCGTGCTCGGGGCGGGAGCAGCAGGGGGGCGGGAGGTCCCTGGGGCCTTGGATCCTCGCCTGTCACTGTTTCTGGGACTGCACCTTACCACAATCGAAGGTGCAGCCCGGCCGCCCTGGCTCAGTGGTTGAGCGTTGACCTATGAACCAGGAGGTCACGGTTCGATTCCCGGTCAGGGCACTTGCCCAGGTTTCGGGTTCAGTCTCCTGTCTGGGTGTGAATGGGAGGCAACAGATTGATGTTTCTCTCTCATATCAATGTCTCTCTCTCTCCCTCTCTCTCCCATCCCCATCTTTCCCTGTCCCTCCCTCTCTCTCTAAAATCAATGGAAAAGTACCCTTGGTTGAGGATCAGCAACAATGTTTTTGGTACAATCCTGAAGTCTGGGTTAACTGGCGTAGCCTAGAAGCACTCCTCTTTCAGAAACGGTTTTTGTCTAGTACAGATACATATGCACACACACACACACACACACACACACACGTACGTCACTGCACACACGCACACACGCGTCACTGTACACCCCTCACTCCTGGAACCTGGGACCTCTGACCTCAGCCGGGACCGCACCAATCTCAGCTCTCAGCGCCCAGCCGTTCCCTAGACAACCAGCACAGAGCTGCCCCTTGGGGCTTAAGCAACAAAAGCAATTAAGAGCAATAATGACGTTTAACAGCCAGTCCCCAGGGCCCCTCCGCGGCTTCCTGAGCGACTCTGCTTAAACCCACACAGAGGTTCCAATCCCACTTATCCCTCCAGGGCCTGGCACATACGCGGCTCCACTCGGATGACGGATGCCGATGTCTGGCCTGGCCCACGGGCTCCCTCCTCACAGTGACGTGGCTGCTGGGCCCTCAGCCCAGCCCCTGGACGGCCAGCATCCTCAGGCCCCGCCCTCTCCCCAGCCCTGTCCCCTCCGAGTCTCCTCCTAATCCCTGCCTTTGGGGCACAGGGTGGCTTTGATAAAGGACTAGAATTGAGCATGTGCGCGCAATGCAGGATGCCAGCCAGCAGGGGGCGGAGGACCCGGAACATTGGCTGCTTTGGTCCAGGTGCCCAGCCTGGGGAGGTGCGTGCTGCTGGGCTGGCCTGGTGCCTGGCCTGGCGAGGGCCCCTGTGCTGAGCCCACGGGAGGGTGTGTGCTGTGTTTCATGTGCTAATGGTACAGTGGGTCGTGGAGAGCAGGTCAGCGAGCATTTACACCGGACGCCAGGGCTGATGAGGAGGAGCAAGGCCAGCTCCCCCCCCCCCCAGCACCACAGGGAGCCTGGGAGACTCGGACCCTCCCAAGGAGTCAGGTTGTGGGTCCAGGGCTTCTGAGCCTGGGCCAGGGAGCCGCCTGCTGGCTGAGGTGCTCATCCCGGCCCTGCCGTTAGGGTGTGACATTTGCCTGGGCCTCACCGTCACCATCCATAGAATGGGTCCAGCTGTCCCGCCGCCACCGCGGGGCTGGATGAGCCCACATGCTGCACGTCAGGGCCCGGGGGATGGGCTCAGGAAACGTCGTGAGGACGGAGGCTGGGGTGATCGGAGTGGCCGCTCGTGGGGTTGAAGGGCAGCGTGAAATGGAGCAGTAATCAGAGGGGCTGCCCCTGGGGGACGCGGCTGAACCTGCAGACGGGCGTGTGCCCTCTTCCCGGGGGGCCCTAATGTAACCAGACAACCCAGGGGTCCGGCTGCCTGTCACTCCTCGAGCCAATCAGCAGAGACAGGGTTGAATCCTATATGAGCGTTTATTCCGATCCTGCCGGCAGCAGGGGGAGCAGCAGGTCACCCACAGAAATCTCTCTGCACCCCCATAAGCCAGCTGCTTACATTGGGTAGAAGGACAGAGGTTACGTGGGGGAAGGAGACAAAGGATATGCCGCATGGGCAGCGGACAGGCCTGGAGGTTTGCAAAGGCTGCGGGAAAGCCGAGGCTGGGGGCCTTCACAGGGCTGGGGCTCGGGCTTCTGCACGAGGCGGCTAATGCTGCCATGATCGCAGGCAGCTCCCGGGGGGAGGAGGGGCTGCCCTTCCAGGCGAACACCCAGGGCCCGTGTGTAACTAACTGCCAGGTGAGGACGCGCCTCCTCTAATCGGAACAAAGCAGTCACGGTTAACCGAGCCGGATGGACCTGCCTTACAGTTCTGGCAGGTTCCCAATGTTCCGTTGCTGTCCCGTCACTAAGGGGCACGTGAGTGGGTGCGGGAGAGGCGCCTGGAGCAGGGCCTGGACGCAGGAAGCACCCCATGCGTTAGCGGTGACAGTGACGGTGGTGATCTCACTGCCCAGGAATCCCGGTAGCATCTGAGCCGCCAGGGAGCGATGCGGACAGCGTGGAGAGGCAGGCGGCAGCCCAGTCCCGGGCCCCTGGCCGCACGCCTGCTGGGCAGTGCTGGCTGTCGAACCACCACGTTCCTAGAGCACGTGCGACATGAGGCCACGGAGGCTGGATTCCCGCTCACGTCAACCGCGCAGAACACAGAGGCCGGCAGCTCCCAGGGATCCGAGCGGGTTCCACGACCTCCAGGGCCTGGTGTCCGGGCTTTAAGCTGGGAGAAGCCTAGAGGGTAGAGCGGGCACACTGGCTTCCATGGAAACCAAGCTTAGAAGGGACCCCCCCCACCCATAGAACATGCTCACATCCCATTGGTGGGAAATGGTCACATGGCCATGTGGGTACAAGGGGTGCTGGGAAATGTAGTCCTAGGTGGGACCCCTGCTCCACCCCAAGCCCCAAAGGCAACTCCACGCTGGGTGGAAAGGGAACGGGTGTTGGTGCTGACTTCACTCCATTGAAGACATCAGGCAGTAGGGCGGCCACAGGGGTTTCAGGGTTCAGGAGGGTATTGTCTGGGATTCCTTATATGTGTCGACATGGGTTCCCCCCCACTCGTCCCCCCTCCCCCGCAGCCCTGAGCTATCTATTAAATCTAATTACCTCGTTCATATCATTTCCCGTGAAATTTACGTCTGAATCCGCTGAGCAAGGGAAGCAAGCAGGGAGCTTAATTAGGAACGTTAATCATGGCTGTTTGGTGTGTGTGTGTGTGTGTGTGTGTGTTCAGGAGAAAGCAACGACAATCAGGAAAATGACAATAATCATTTTCCCCCAAAGGCAGTCATCCGCGGCTCCCAGAGCGGCCGCCGGCAAAGCTCAGAACACGGCGCTGGTGGCTCTGTGCCGCGGGGCAGCCGCCCTCCAGCCGGCGCCGGACAGTCCTTCTGTGCGCTGCTGGGCGCTCCCTCCGGGCGCCCCCTCCAGCTGAGGACCCTGGGACTCTGCCCTTTTTGGGAACAGAGCTCCTGAGCCTTGTGCCTTGGGGTTCATATGCATCTCCCGAATTTTGCCAAGTGGGGCCCCAGAGTGAGGCCTCATCCTTCTGGGAGAGCGGGTCTCAGGCGGTGTCGGTTGACGGATGCGAGGCCCGGCCCGCCTGGTGTGGTCCCCGCGTCCGGGGCCGGTGACATGGCTAAGCGATGTTTCTCTTCCCCGTGCAGACACGCGTGCGGACCGCGGCAAGAAGCTCTTCCGGCACTATACGGTGGGCTCCTACGACAGCTTCGACGCCTGCAGGTGAGACGCGCTCCCCGACCGGCCCTGGGCCAGCGCGCGTGCCGCCAGCGCCCGCACCGCCTTGCATGGCGCCCTCGGGCCCCTGGGCTGACATCCCCCGTGTCCCCCGTGCCCCCTGGACGTGGGGCAGGATGACGGAAGCCGCCATAGAAGCTGCCCGAGAGGTGGTCTCCGTGCGCCTGTGCTTGGGGGTCTGGGGGGAGTGCCCCTGTGGGGGGCCCAGGGGCGTGTCCCCAGGAGGAGGCCAGCCTGGCCTTGTTTGGGGGAGGCAGTGCAGGTGTGACCGAGGGCGGCGCTTGGCACAGCGGACCCTGGACATGTGGTCACAGCCACTCTCCGCTTCCATGCTGGCAGGGAGGGTGCCTGAGAGTCAGGGAGCGCCGGAGAGCTGTTGCCATGGTTACTTGGAGGGCTGTCCAGCTGGGAGTGGGGCTTCGGGACAAAGGGGCCTCTGACAGCTGCAGGGTCCGGGCAGCAGCTCGTCCGTGGGCTGTGGCTTTTGTAGAGCCGTCCCGACCAGAGAGCAGCGAGCGGCGAGCAGCCTGCAGGCCGCCCGGTGTGCACGCGTGTGAGGGCCGGTGTGTGCACGTGCTCAGCCTTTGAAAGGGGCGGCTCCCCATTCGGGCTGTGTCCCCTCAGAGAGGGGTTGAAGGGCCTGACTTGACCCTGGGGCAGGCTGGTCGTGTGCCTGACAGCAGGCGCGGAATGAATGAGGGCGCACACGGCAGCGCGGTCGACAAGGAGGCGTGTGGACCCGCAGGACCTGTTCGGGGACAGGACAGAGCTGCCTGGTGAGGTGGTGAGCTCCCCGCCGTGGGAGGGAATCAAGCAGGGCAGGCGTTCTCTGGCCGGGAGGTCACAGGAGGTTGGACCAGGTGACCTCCAAGGTCCCGCCAGCCCCATGTCCTGGGCACAGGCCAGCGCCACTGTCCGTGCGTCCTGACCACCTGCTCGGTGTCAGGACCTGGGCCTCAGAGAAGAGGGTCACCTGGCCAGGCCCAGCCAGCTGGTCGGTGGGAAAAGCTTGGGCCGTGGCACAGCTTAGGGGTCAGCCCTGCCCGCCGTGGTGAGGGAGTCGGCCACCGTGGGCCTCGCGGGACGAGCTGGGACAGTGGATGAGGCAGAGTGAGGACTGCACGGTGGTCACTGTCCGGCCGCTGCCAGTCGCCTTGCATTGCTCCCAGCATCACTGCCGGCAACCCTCCCTGCGACTTTCCATCCTGTCATCTAACAAGTGGAAGGAGGGCCCTGAGGCAGGACCCGCCCTCGGCCACACGCGTGTCTGAGCCCAGGTGTGACCCTGGGCCGGACAGAATACTGAGCCCAGAACTGACCTGACCCGGACAGTGAACTTGGCAGAGGCAATGGAGGGCGGGCAGTGAGGTGGCTGGTGGTCCCCACGTGCTGTGGTGACCCAGGAGACTGGTGTGTGCGGCTCTGGGCAGGTGCTGGGGGACGGGCTGACACGGCCGCCCTGAGGGGCAGGTGCTGGGGGACGGGCTGACATGGCCGCCCTGAGGGGCAGGTGCAGGGGGACGGGCTGACACTGCTGCCCCGAGGGAGCAGGCAGTGAGCAGCCGAGGGGCGCCGGCTGCATTGCAGGGCAACCAGCCCAGTTCCTTATCCAGAGCAGAATCCACGCGGATGCGCCGATGAGCCGCAGCGGCCTGGGTGCCGGGCCGCTTATCCCCCGTGGGCGGGGGGCTGCCGTCTGGGCAGCAGTGACCCCTGAAATGCAGATGTAACTAAAGGAAATGGGGAGCTGGACTTGGGGAGAGTTTGCGAATCAGCCGGGAGGTGGCTCCGCTCCGACCCGTTTGTCAGGGACGCGGAGCTGCCGCGTGCAGTGGTCAGAACACACCCGCCCCCCTCAGAGTCCCCTCCACCACCCAGCGTGCCCGGACGGAGGGTCTGGAACTGTGGGCACACGGCCCAGGTCAGGGGGCAGAGAACCTGGGCCGTGTCCACACCGAGCCTCACAGATGTCTCGTGTCTTCTTGTAAAACACGTCTCCACATCGGGAGTGGGTCTCGCGTTCCCACTTCTCTTAGATCCCAACCTCCTTAGCACAGGGCACCGGAGGGTCTCCCTGGCACAGGCAGGGGCCTCGAGGTCTCACTCTGGACTGAACAGACTCCACCCACCCAACACCTACCCACTCATCCATACATCCGCCCATCTGTCCATCCACTCAGCTACCTACCCATCCATCCATCCACTCATCCATCCATCCATCCATCCACCCATCCATCCATCCATTTATCCATCCATCTATCCATCTACCCACTCATCCACCCATCCATCCATCCATTCATCATCCACCCAATCATGAATTTATTCATCCATCTATCCCTTTATTTACCCATCCATCTCTCTGTGTGCTTACCCACCCATCCATTCATCCATCCACTCATCCATCCATGCATTTATTCATCTGTCCATCAATTCCTGTATTTACCCGTCCATCTCTCCATGTGCTTACCCACCCATCCATTCATCCACCCACCCATCCATCCATCCATCCATCCATCCATCCACCATCCACCCATTCATGCATGTATTCATCCATCCATCTATCCCTATATTCACCCGTCCATCTCTCCGTGTGCTTACCCACCCACCCACCCATCCATCCACCCACCCACCCACCCATCCATCCATCCATCCACCCATCCATCATCCACCCATCCATGCATGTATTCATCCATCCATCTATCCCTATATTCACCCGTCCATCTCTCCGTGTGCTTACCCACCCACCCACCCATCCATCCATCCATCCATCCATCCACCCATCCATCATCCATCCATCCATCATCCACCCACCCATCATCCACCCATCCATGCATGCATTCATCCGTCCATCTCGCCCAGGGCCGGGGCTCCGTCTTCATCCAATGAGTCTCTGCTGGGAATCCCGTGGACTCCCTCACCTCAGATGAGGCCGCCACCTGTGGAACTCCTCAGCTCGTGCGGGTGTGGGTGGGGCCTTCTGCAGCCTCCCCCGCTGTGAGCAGGGAACAGGGGGAGGCAAGGCCTTGGGGGAGCCTTTTGCCCAGTGCTCTCCGCACTTGGGCGTTGGGGAGCGGGGGGAGAGGGCCCTGAGGAGCCAAGAACTGGAGGGCAGCCCCCTCCCGGGGTCACCACTCAGCTCCCACTCCAGCCAGGGCCCTGGGGGCAGCGCCCAGCACGTGGCAGCGTGGCCGTTCCCGGGGGTGGTTGCAGGGGCACCATCAGGGACATGGCTTTGTCCCTCCGAGCGGGAGAATAGAGGAAGGAGCGGTTACTTCCGCTGCGGCACCTGTCTGCTCACTCGCTGGGCCCCACGCCACGCGCTCCTCCACCCCCTCCGCGTCTCCAGGCCATGCCTGGGCTGTGATGAGTCAGCCACGATCGGCGAGGCTTCCTGGGAACACCCCCAGCCTGCATGACAAGCCCGGATCCGCGCCGTCTCCCCGGGGGAGGGAGGGGTAACTTGTATGGGGTGGTGGGTCCGGTAATGCGCCCCCCCCCCCACACCCCTGCTCAAGTCCCTGGGACCTGCAAAGGTGCCCCTCGGCCCCTGGAGTTAAGGGCACAGACGGGATCGGTGAGGGCGTCCTGGGGTGTCGCAGGACGAGGGGAACGTGACAACTGAGCTGAAGTTGGAGGACGGAGGAGGGGGCCGCGAACCAAGGAATGCGGGGGCTCCAGGAGCTGGGGAAGGCCAGGCACAGGCTGCCCCTGGACCCCCCGGCGGCAGCCCTGGGCCCCGGACCTGCAGAGCTGAGAGAGAGTAAGGGACAGTTTAGACGCGGGTCAGCCGCATCTGTCCTACCCGCGATGGAGTGAGGCCGCGGGGCAGATGGAGAGACAGGCCGCCCAGGACCCAGGCTCCTCTTCCTCTCCGCGCCAGCTGTCCCCCTGCTGAGGGGCCCCGGTTGTCTCCGGAGGCTGCAGGATAGGAGACGAGGTCTGGGCTCCTGTGCCCGCGGGGAGCACCCACCACGCACCACGGCTGAGTCACGGAGGCCCTGCGGGAGGGGCAGCATTTCCTGCCCAGAGAACGGAGGCTCGGCTGGGGCACAGCACACAGCCAGGCTGGGCCACGGTGCTGGCCGCGGGCGACGCCGGGAGCAAGGCGCTTCTGACCAGCTAAGATGACGGGCAGCACCCACCCCCTCCCTTAGGCAGGTGCGCACCTTCTCACACTCCCCAGCCGGGAGCTGGTCACGCCAGGGCCACGCCAGGGCCACACCAGGGCCACACCAGGCCCACACTGACCCAGGGGCCTTGGGAGACCCGTAGAACTCAGGCCGCAGCCTCTGGGTTCCTGCAGGCCCCTCCCGCTGTGAGACGGCGATTCTGTGCCCGGGACCCCGAGGGGCCCACTCTGCCCCAGACCAGAGGCCTCCGTGGTTCCTGCAGACAGAGCTGGGGCCCAGCCCTGCCCGCCTCCAGGCACAGCGGCCTGGTGCACTGGCCATGGGAGGCGCGGTCCCTACAGAGGGTGCTGAGGCCGGCCTGGGAGCTCTGTGGCCTCCCTCCCTCCGCTGTGGCCAGGGACAGGCCTGCCCCGCGCTCGGGGAGGGGCGGGCTCCTGCGGGCCACAGCCCAGCCTCTCGGCTGCACCCGCTGTGTGACCCTGGCCCAGTCACTGGGCCTCTCTGCGCCCCGCTTCCTGTCTGTGGAGCGGGGGAGGGAGCAGTGCCTCCTGCCCAGGTGGCTGGGAGGGAGAAGAGGGCATGGGGGCCCCACGCAGCCTGCGGGGTGTGAGCGTGGACCGTGTGGCCGGGGGTGCTGTTTGCGTTCTCTGTGCTCACACTCTTGCATCCACCGTCTTGGTCGTCTTGGTCGGGACTGTCCTGCTCTTCCCCGCAATGTGGGGGGAGGGTGGGGGAGGAAGGGCAGCGAGCATCTCAGCCGCAGTGCGAGTTGATGAACCCAGACCCCTAAGATGGACCGGCGATGAGAGCGGGTGCGTGGAGCCCGGGAGCCAGAGGCGTGCGGGCAGGCTGGAA